AGCTGCCGCCTTTCAGCAAGCAGGTTGCCACGGTTCAAATTCTGGCTGGACGTGGGGTTTCTCCTGGTACTCCGGTTTCCTCCCCCAGACCAAAAACATGCATGTTAGGCTGATTGGTAACTCTAAATTGTCCCTAGGTGTGAGTGAGAGAATGAATGGTTGTTTGTCTTGTTTGTCTCCATGTGTCCCTGTGATGGACTTGCAACCTGTCCAGGGTGTACCCCACATGAGTCTATTGTAGTGAACCTAACCTGATGTCAAACTAAGCCTAAGGTCAAAACACTTGACCTTAAGAACCTTGTGGGACAGAAACTGTCATTTCATTGATCTGCATCCAGAAATACAGTTTGACCCATCCTAAGACTTTCTTTCTTGAATTAATCAAGTAGAAAAGACAATTCTCTATGATCATTACTATTTTACAAATGTTTTGATAATCAAATTGTGTTAGTTCAAACAATGTTTACAGGTTGAAGAGAACTACTCATTTTTATTTACATAAACAGTAAGTAATGATTTTTATTCCTCATTCAAAGAAGAAATCAGGGTAATATGCATTTCTTGATTTTTCTGTCTTCAATGAGCAAGTTTGTAAGTGTGTGTTAAAGTTCAGGTTTCGGTCAACTAAAAAGTTTACTGAAAAGAAATGTCATGTTTAACTTTTACAGAAGATACAGGAGAGTTTGACTCCACGAAGTCTGGTTTTCTCCAATAATCTTTCTGTCTGTTTTAAACAAACTTAATCTCTGTCCTTGACTTTGATAACACCTTACATCACAAACCACACCTCTGTTCTGGTCCATCCACGAATCAGAAAGCTCTCAAATGACCCGGAAGTCGAACCCATTTAAATGTGGCAACTTCCCGGTTCTCTAGAGTGTGTGTGCTCTCGGATGCAGCTCATGGAGAAGTGTCAAAAAAAGGTCTGATGTCTGTGTCGAGTCTCTGTCGAAGAGAGACGCGACGAGATGAAAAGAGCTTAAAGGAGTAGAGCTTTGAAGGAGTTCAGAGTTCTTGAATCCAGAATGCAGGGACGATTTTGGGAATTATAACTTCTGTTTGGATAACCTCGCACGACTCTCGAAGTATTTTAGCTGTTCTCAACGGAGACGCTGAAAGAGTCAAAAGAAGGACTTCACGCCGACCTGACCTATCATCAACCAGGTAAAAGTTCTATTTCGACCAAGCGTACCGTGACCAAGCTGAGATCTGAAGGAGCGTGCCCGTTTCTGGTCAAACAGATAAATTCCCTCACACATCTCTCTGTAAGATAAATCTCCATTTTCCATCTTTAAACTCCCCTTTCTCCTAAAATCATTACAGATATTTTAGAAATGTCTGAAGCAAAGTTTCTCAATCACCGCCGTGTGATTGATGTCTGTTTCTGCTGAAAAGTGACAACAGTCTCCGTATTGTTACCACTTCCTGTGAAACTAGCCATGTTATTGTTTTCATTTTTGCCAAATTAATGTAAATGTTTGATGTTAAACTTTGATTCTGCAAATAAATGACCGCATTCATTTTGATGGGTCAAAGATAAATAACGTCTCTCGTTACATTTCTGTTAAACTCAATGCACGCATGTTACACAGTCAGAAAAATGAAGAACCCGTGAAAATGTATATCCTGCATATGTCATACTACACTATGAATGTGGTAAAGCTCTGATGGTTCTAGTAGAGTGCTGTATGAATGGGTAAATGAGGGCACAGATTGTAGTGTAAAAGGCTTTGTGTCTTGATCAGATAGAAAGGCTCTATATAAGTACAGTCCATTCAGCTTTGCCGCCCTAATGTTAGTGTGTGTGAACTGCAGCTGCAGATCCAACAGACCTCAGCCTCCTTCCCTGAAATAAATCACGGGTCAGAACTCATTTAGTCGTGCTGTGCCTTTTGAGAGGTACAGAGAGAGGTAGCAACATTAATAAATCAGCAGCTTATCATATCGCTAAGACACGGTCCTCAGCTGTGGAACAAGATGCTAAAGCGTTAGCCGTCTTAGCCGCTAAGGATCGTGTCTTTAGCGATATGATAAGCTGCTGATTTATTAATGCCACCAACTCCCTCTGTGCCTCTCAAAAGGCACAGCACGACTAAATGAGTTCTGACCCGTGGTTTGTTTCAGGGAAGGAGGTTGAAAATACACTCGGACCTGCAGTTGCAGTTCACACACGATCATATTTCACTCCGCTGTTTTAAATAGTGAAAAAGATTCCTAGTGCCAACCTTTTGTTGGGACTTGTTTTCAGCATTGTCTACAGAAATCATCTTTCTGCCCCTCATCTGACAATTAAAATCCAAACCATCTTCTAAAGAACAGTCATTGTTTTTCTTTTTGTTAAGCAGCTAAGCTGCTGTGTTTCTCCCGTGTTTACTTGTGCTAAACGTCCCGTCCACCTCCTGGAGAAGCAGGAAGGAGGGGAGGGCGGCTCAGGGCTGTGTGTTTGTGTTCAAGGAGGGAGAAGAAGGGGGGCTTTGTGGGAGAAAAAATACTGCAGGAGGATTTCCAAGTATAAAACTATTATTTTATATCAATATAGTCTCAAAATATATTGCAAAAAAAATTATATTGATATTTTTAAAATATTGATATATCACTCTGCTCTAATTCCAAGGCTTTTCCACTAGCAATTATTCATGGAACTGGCCTCTTTTTCAGTACCAACTTCTCTGGTTCAACGTGTACAGTGCTGGCCTTAAAATGTGACGTCAGAACATTGTCAGTCACTGATTGGTTGGGGGGGGATTCACTGGTTGTTGGAGAAACTTTCAAACAACTCGAACTGGGAGGAGCGACTGGACCTATTTTGCAGATTTTAGATCAATAATGACAACATATCCTGATGCATGCTCAATAATCCAGGTAGAAAAATCTAAAAAAAAGTTAAATCTGGTCCTCTGGACATTCAAAAAAAACAAAGCAAAACAACAACAAAATTGAAACGTTTCGTCTTTCATCCAAAAGACTTCCTCAGTCTGAGGTGCTGTATTCAGCTCAGTCTCTTAAATAGCACCTTCTCAGAGTGGATCAACCAGTTTGCTACTGACAACCAAAACCAGCTGCTCACATGGTCAAGAAGGACCATCAGCCTAACAATGGATCATTAGCACACTGATGGCTGTTTACTATTCACAGACGGCTGAATGATACTAGCAATAACAGCATTGTAAGAGGAGGACAGTTGAACCTGGAGGCCTCCACCCCTGTTTAATGATGGACGATTTATTTTCACAAAGATGGCCTCCTTTACTCCTCTCTCAAACCATCGTTCCTCTCTGTCCAGGATGTGAACATCTTCATCCCTGAAAGAGTGACCGCTGGCCTGGAGATGAGTGTAAACCGCAGAGTCCTGGCCTGATGATGTTGATCTTCTGTGCTGGGCCATCCTTTTGGCCAGTGGCTGTTTAGTTTCCTCGATAAGACTGATCACAGCCCTCCTGACACTGAACAGCATACACAACATTACTCTGATTGTGCCGGGGGACTGGATCTTTGGGATGAACCAGTCTTTGTCGTAATGTATTTTGGGGTTTAAAAGCCACTGGGATGTTGTGTTTAGAAAATAAACGTCTCAGTTTCTCTGATACTCCCTCAACATACGGAATGACCACTGGTCTGGGTCTGGGTTCCTCCTTTTCACCTGTTGGCTGACTGGAGTCCTGTTTGGGTTTCTTCTCTGCTTTCAGGAAGGCCCAGTTAGGATATCCACATTGCTCTAGAGCCTATTTTGTGTGGGATTTCTCCTTCTGCCTGGCTCCTGAGTTAGTGGGGACACTGTCTGCTCTGTGATACAGAGTCCTGATGACTCCTAACCTGTGCTCCAAAGGGTGATGGGAGTCAAACTGCAAATACTGATCTGTGTGGGTGGGTTTGCGGTTACCCTCATGAGGACGGCCAAGGACGAATCCAAAGAGTCCTGAAATGATGACAGAATGTTTATTCAGCTGGGCCCCTCTGAAAGTCTATGGAAATTCCTCGGTAGAAGGGGAGGGAGGAGCAGAGCTTCATATTTACAAAACTTCCAGGCGGGTTGAGATAAGATGGCCTGTCAAGGCCAGTCAGGGAACCGAATTCAGATAAACATGATTGTTTTGGGGACAGGCAGAACTTTAATGACATCTACCTTGAGTCTGTGTCGGTCCACTCTGTTCCAAAACGTCCAAATTACATGGTCACCCCAATGGACCGTGCCTGAGAATAATCTCAGAGATCTGATACATTCTGCCAAATGCATTTGAGTGTGGGTGCTCGAGGCACGAACCAAGCCATCATAAGGCAAGCAAACTGATTGGGTCCAAATTTGCTGCCGACAACTTCCTTGATTGTTGATAAACCAGGAACCAGCCGAATCCGAAGAGCAGGAACCAGTTATCATAAATCCAATTATATATGCGTCCTTAAAATCCACAAATGGCAGCAGAGATAGACACGTCATCAAGTCTTCCAAGTCTATGAGATCTACAACTGTGTGCGTGCCAACAGGGCAAATTGGCTCACTTAAAGCCTGTCTTTGAAGATATGTTATCAATTGTGTTGAGGGGCCAATTGACCAAATCCAAGTCCGTCATTATGATTCGGAAGATTTGTAGAAGAGAGGCTCTAAGCAGTTTCACAGACAGGACAGAGCCAAAGCAAAGAGGAGAGGAGGAGAAATGTGTCCGCCCTTGACAAGAGCAAGTGTTGAAGTGATTAATTGGTCTATCTTTACCAACTGTTACCAAAGTGCACTAATGCACTTTGGTAACAGTTCTTGTTTTAAATGTGCTATACAAATAAATTTTACTTGACTTGACTATCTGTAGAGAGAGCTCAAAGTTCAGTCACATAATCACATTCAAGTTGAACATTAAGTCAAATCTTTACAAACTAAGAAGGATGCCTGAGCTATAAGCTCCAAAGGAGGCTAGATTTTCTTACATGTTTGTCAATTAGTATCAAGAGAACTCTTTATGCTTGTTGGCACACCTAATTAAAATTTTTTTTTTTCTTCTTTCTGCCAGTACTTACCATGGAGAGACAGCAGATGTAATCTATTGCTGTGAAGTCTGCCAACAGACGTTTGCTAACCGCAGCAACCTGAAGCTCCACGTAAAGCACGTTCACAGCACTGAGAGGCTTTTTGAGTGTGACATTTGTGCAAAGACCTTTAAACGAAAGAAGGATGTCTCCCGCCATAAGAAGCAGGTGAGGTGTAAATCTTTGCATTCTTCTTTTTTCTCAGTCATATGGTTGGGGGATTTTCGCAAAGAAATTTAAAGCAGACATGTGTCCCAGGTGCATGAACAAAAACAACAATACATGTGCCTTGATTGTGGGAAGAGGCTCAGCTCCAAAGCTACTTTGTCGTTGCACCAGAGGACACACACGGGCATCAAACCCTACGAGTGCACCAAGTGTCAGGCCAGATTCACCCAGAAGTCTGCCCTCAATATGCATCAAAGGTAAACAGTTCTTTGTCGCTTGAACCTGCTGCTTTGTCGTAAAACAAGTTGAACGTTTCTTCTAATGCCTTTTTCTTTTGCCTTAATAAAACAAGAGGTGTTGTTTTGCCCCTTTGAGATATTTTATTTTCAGCAAATTACAAAATAATTAGGGATGGGGCCATTCCAGTATCTGTATCGGCTTCCGATACCAGCATAATTTACGTATCGGATTTTTCCGATCCAACCTGCAGAGATTTCTGATCCATGATGCATGTTGACTTAAAACTATGGAATGGATTTCCTGAAAGGAGGCGTGTCTCATGAACCCAGAGTAATAAGACCTGCCTCACATTCAGGAAATCCATTTCATAGTTTGCAGCCAGCTACAACGTGAGGACTGAGTTAGCAGCACTGTGGCTAACAGCTAACCAACTTTTCATCGAAACATGTCCACTGTGTGGAAGTATTTTACACTAGAAACACCACAGAACAAGACAGCAACGTGCAATGTCTGCAGAGCCATAGCATCACATTAAACTGCAGTAAAGTTAGTTTTATGTTGGACATTCGAGCTCCATGGTTTCATCGGGGTGCTACTCTTGCTCAACCCAAAACAGGCAACTTGACTCCGGCTAGCATCGCTCAGTCTGCCCTGAGGAGGGACAAACTGAGTGCAGCTGACCGAAATCAGACTGCCCGCCCCAAACTGAACAAGAAAAACACAGCCCCGGAGCTCAAATGTTTACCAAGAAGTTGCTAAACTTCATTGTAATTAATGACGAACGGCTATTAGTTGTAGAAAACGAAGGATTTCCCAGCTTGATATTTGCAACCAAGATATAGTTTACCCTCCAGGAGATCCTTATCAGTACAACAGTAGACAATCATTAAAAAAAATTATGATTTGAAAATTACAAGAAAATTATATATATGTTTATATAAATATATAGCTGTATATATATATATATATTTTTTTT